CATATACACACTATGTAGGAAGAACTCGGTTACTTTAATTACCAAAGAACCACCCAAAAGTTTAATACAATACTTCAAACGCAAGAGAAAAAGTTGTTGTTGTTTTTAATACCTATCTAAACACACATTTAATTACAACATTCCCTGAAAGTATCACTTTAAATTGGAAGGCATGAGGTATAACTTTTATAACAAACATTAAGTCTCAACCACACACAAAATTCTGAGATAAGCTCTATAGAGGATGAAAAGATATGGAAGGCTGATAAAACATCAGCCTTAGTTGTTTATGATACTGTTTAGGGAAAAGTGTTTTTTGTCTAGGATTTAACACGAAAGGGTCTCATTCTGAAATTTTGTATCAATACAGGGCAAATAAAACTTTTAAATGTTTTTTTTCCATAAAAACAACAAACACACACCAAACACATATTTAGAAAATGTATAAATTAGGAAAGAAAATAAAGGATTTAGTGTGTATGGGGGGCAACCCATGGATGTTTCTCACATCGATGTTTCTCTCTCTTCCTCTTCCTTTCTCTCTAAAATCAATTAAAAAAACGACAACACGGAATAAAAAAGAAATGATGTTAAATATTTCATTTTCATAAAGTGCTGGTAAGGAAGCCAGGGATCTTCTGTTCATTCCCCAGAGGTCTGCTCATCCTTTCCCAATATTCATTACCCTAAAGTTCTATAGGAGTGAGTAGCAACTGGCAACACGAGAAGAATGTGGCTCCTTTTGAATAAGGCGATGCCACAGGAAGAGGAAAAGAATGATTAAGAAAACCATAGAGCTCCCCTGTTAGTTTTCAACTGATAGGTGGATCTCTGTTCCTGAAAGATATGACACTTCCTATCCGTCCCTACTTTGGCAACTAATAACAGGAGGAAGAGCTTGTCTGGAAATACACAGACCTATCATATTCAGAATTAAGTTACTTCCAAATTTATAAAATTCTCACCTCCATTCATAAAATCACAGAGTTAAGAAATATAAATTTGAGAATATCTACTTCTAGTATACTGGACTGGAAAGTGTGAAGGGACCTCTAGTTGCAACCAAAAAAAAACCTATTTCTTATATTAAACATAACTTTTGTTGCACTGCTGAGATATAAGAAAATAAGGGAAATGTCTACAGGAAACCCTCTAATCCCAAACACACACACACACACACACACACACACACAGAATAAACAAACCTTTAGCTGAATTCAAAGCTTTGAGCATCAAATACTACAATTTAAAAAAATCAAATAGCCCAGCAGGGCGTGGCTCAGCGGTTGAGCGTCGACCTAGGATCCAGGCGATCGGGGTTCGATTCCCGGTCAGGGCACATGCCCGGGTTGCGGGCTCGATCAATGACTCTCTCATCATTGATGTTTCTATCTGTCTTTCTCTCTCCCTTCCTCTCTCCAAAATCAATAAAGATATAAAATAAATAAATAAAATAAATTTAAAAAAATTAAAAATCAAATATTGTTGCCTGATATCAGTGTGAGAGCTGAATCTGGGGCTCCTTCATTAATAAAGATCCTCTGAAGGGAGTGGGAATGATCTCAAGAGTTAGTGCCTTCTGGCTGAAGCACACCCAAATAATCCTTGAAGGAAAGCATCCTTAATTTGGATTCCCAGATTTTCGCAGATTAAAGTTAATGAAATATAAACTCTCAATCAAAGATAAATGTGGCACAAGGAACTAAACCATGAACATAAATCAACAGAAACAACATAGGCAGAATGTAAGATAAATATATATAAAAAAATGAACAAGAAGAAGAGAATATCAAACAGTGACACGAAAGATTTGGAGGGAGATGAAAGATAAAAATATTGAAGTGATAAACCAAAAGAGTTAAAGTATAGATTAGTCACAGGTAAAGAGAATTTTAAAAAAGGAGAATAAAAAGAAATATGAGAGAGAATACTAAGTTCTAAATGATGCCTCATTGGGGTTCCAAAATGATGAGAGACAATGGAGGAAAAACAGTAATTGCAAAAATACTGCCTAATAATTTTCCAAAATGATAAATAACAATTCACAAATAGAGGAAATGCAATGTAGTTGCTTAAATCATAGGGAATTGTAGGTCAAATGGTTTAATACTGTTAATTTTATATGGGTCAACCTATACCATGCTAGATAAATATAAAGGAACCATAATTTCACTGGAATGAAAATGCAGAACACCAAAGACAAACTATCTTAAAAACAACTGGAGAAGAGATATATTACGTATATAAAGAAATGATAATTAACCTGACATCAAGTTTTTCAACAGCAAAAACTGAACCCAAATATCAGTGGAATAATTAAAGTACTGAGAGAATTTTTCAAAGTGGTGAGCACACAATGCAATATACAAATGATGTATTATAGAACTGTACACCTGAAACCTATATAATGCTAATAAGAAATGTCACCCCAATATATTTAATCTCAAAAAAAGTATTGCCAACCTAGAAATGCTTACGTAGCAAATCTGCACTCAAAACAAAAAGGCAAAAGTTATTTTCATATATGCAAAAACTAGGAAGCATTTACTACCAACAGACGTAAAGTAGAAGAACTTTTAAAATTATATACTTCAGAAAGAAGGAACAGACTTCTGTTGATAGGACTCACCTGCTTGGTAATAGACCAAGATTGTCAGATGGAATTAAAAATATGTAATATGCTACTTAGAGCCCTAAATACAGACTCAGAAAAGTTGAAAAATAAAGGGATGGAGAAAGATATAAAAATATAACAGGCAAATACTAAAAAGGTGGAGTAGCTATTTTAATATCAATGTAGACTTTTTAAAAAATGTATTCTTAGGAATGAAGAAAGTCATCAGATAATGTAAAATATTAAATTCATCAGGAAGATTAACAATTATAAATGTATATGACTTTAATAAATGGCCTCAAAATAAACATTAGGTAAAAACTGATAAAATTATAGAGATAAATTGACAAATCAAACATCATGAGAGATTTCAAAACATCATTCTACTATTGATAGATAAAAGAAAAAAACCCTCACCAGACCGACATGACTCAAGAGGTCAAGTTTGATTCCCAGTCAAGGCACATGCCTGGGTTGTGGGCTTGATCCCCAGTAGGGGGTGTGCAGCAGGCACCCAATCAATTGATGTTTTTATCTCTCTCTCCCTCTCCCTTTCTCTCTCTGAAATCAATAAAAACATATTAAAAACAGAAAAAAACCCTCAATAAAAATAAAGTTTGAAAATTACAACTCAAAGCTTGACCTATTAGACTCCAAGACCAATAATTAGAGAACCCTGTACCCAGCAACTATATAAACACATTCCTCTCGAGAACACATGGAAAAATTACAAAAATTCAGGAAATACTGTCATAAAATAAAGTTCAAAGAATTAGGACCATAAAAACATAGTTTCTAGACATAATACAATTAAATGAGATAAGAGCAGAAGAAAAACAAATTAGCTCTTTTAAAACACCTCATAAGAACTCATGGGTCAATTCAAAAATAATAATGGAAATTAAGATACTTAGGACTAAAAGATAATAAAAATAATACATAATAACTGTGTAAGATTCAAAACAGTAGTGAAAACTTTATCATCATAAATGCTTATATTAGAAAATAAAAAAGATGACTGGAACTCATTAGGTTTTAGCCTCAGAACTGACATGGGCAGGAGATGAGAGGGATGAACTGAACAAAACCAAAAGAAAGAAAGAATAAAGGATATAATAAAGAGCAGAAATTAATGAACAAGGAAACAAACTATAAAAGAGAGAATCAAAAAACCCAAAAGTTGATTCTTTGAAAACATAACAGAGACTGTGAAACTTGCCCAAGTGTATATAGCTAATAAATGGAGAAGTCAGGATTTAAATCTAGGCAGTCTATCTCCACAGTCCAGATTCTTAACTACTATGCTCCACGACCTCAAAAATGCTACGCATAAAAGAAAAGATTGCAATATTTGACTACATTAATCTTAATGATATCTATGCATCATAAACACTATAAGGCAAGATATATATGACACACATAACTGAGAAAACATTAGTGTTTAGAATATATTAAAACTTCAACAAATCAATAAGGAAAAGTTAACAACCCAAAGACAAATGGGCAAAAGACACTAAAAAGCATTTCCCAGAAGAGAAAACAAATAGCCAATGACCATATGAGAAGACACTCATAAGTAATCTAGGAAATGCAAAATAAAAACACAATATGATGTAATTACCAATTTGTTATTTTGTAAAGTACATGACTGTCTAACCACTATTATGTATACCTTAAACTAATACAAAATAATACTGAATGCAAACTGTAATTGAAAAACAAAATTTAAAAACATACAGTGTGACAGTATTTTATGTGAGGGAGATTGACAAAAATTAGGAAGTTTGATAATACCAAATATTGGCAAAGATGCAGAGCTGTGGGAATTCTGACATACTGCTAGGGGAATGTAAATTGATATAACTTTCTGGAGAAAAAACTGGGCACTATCTTGTATAAACATTCATATATTCCATGACTCAGGAATTTCATTCCTAGGTATGTATCCTGGAGAAACTCTTTAATATGTATATCCTGAAACACATACAAGACTGTTAATAAAAACAAAAAACTGGAAATGTCTGGTATCCATCAACAGAAAAATGGAAAAATAAATTGTGCTATATTCACAATATACAATTCACAATGTATAGCAATGAAAATCAATTAACTATGATTAGACTACAAGGATGACACTTTGAAACATAATATTGAGTGGAAAAAGAAATTTATAGTATGATTCTATTTTTAAAGCTCAAAAACAGGACAAACTGAACATATCATTTAGGTAGTAGGTAGGACGGCAGGATGTTTATAAGAGAGAGAATAACAAAATATATGTTCACAAATACTAAATCCTGAGCAAATCTCATTTTTGTCTTTCTAATTTTATCTCTTATTCAAGTAACACCTTAACAAGAAACAAGAGAACCAATGGCAGTCTTACCTGCAGAAACACTGAGGGAGTTCCCCTTGGCCATATAAAGGAAACAAAAACGGAGTGTTGCCATACCGCCCAAGACAGTGAAGAAAGTTTCTGGTAGCTTTGAGACCATCTATAGTACTGCTGGCTGTCTCTGATGTCATTGCAATTGAATGCAGAACAAAATGTTGGAGGTTGGGAGTTAATTTTTGAGTTTTTAAATATTCAGAAAATGCAATCTCCTCATAGGCTATGAAAAGAAAAATGAAAAATTATCAATTAAAATCAGAACCAAACTTCAATTTAAAATCACTGCACAAAAATGAGACCAAGTCTGTCTTAAACACTTGGCAAAGGACATGGGTGGCAATGATATTACATTTTGGACAGAGACCAGTGGTTTAGGGGGGGAAACTAGAAATCTCACTATCCTAATTGAATTGATGGCACAATTTTTAAGCTTTAAATAATGAACCTATGTTTAGTATTTTACCAATTCAATAAGTAGAAAAGCATTAAATAACTCATTAACCATCACAATTGTTTTCTGAGGTTGGCAATAATCTTACATTATCATTAAAACTGCAGAAACACACACACACACACACACACATACATAAAACACATAGACATAGACAACAGTGTGGTGACAGCCAGAGGGAAAGTGGGGTGAGGGTTATGTGGAGGTGGGGAAAGGGGAGAAAAATGGGGACAGAAAGAGACTTCGCTTGGAATGATGGATGCATGACGCAGTGTGCAGATGACATGTTGTTGAATGGTGCACTTGAAACTTATATGATTTTGTGAACCAATGTCATCCAAATAAAATCAATTAAAAGCTAAAATAAAACTGCAGAATAATACCAATAATTATATTTTGAAATATTAAACAAGACAAAGGGCTCATTTTTGATGACAATAATAATAGAGCAATACTTGATTTTTTGAAATATATATATTTTTATTAAAACTAGGAACAATGAACTGACTAAAAAGTAATAAAGCTTCGCCCGGCCAGTGTTGCTCAGTTGAGCATCCACCCATGAACCAGGAGGTCACGGTTTGATTCCCAATCAGGGTGTATGCCCAGGTTGCAGGCTGGAGCTCAGTAGGGGCGTACAGGAGGCAGCCAATCAATGATTCTCTCTCATTGATGTTTTTCTCCCTCTCACCTCCTCTCTCTGAAATCAATAAAAACTTATTTAAACAAAAAAGTAATGAAACTTAATTTCTTTGTGGCTAGTGGAATCAGTCTTACTGCTTTATAATCACACCACAAAAGATAAGGGATCCCTAAAAACTATTTCTTTAAACCAATAACAGAAAAAGTGTAATTGGACTGTTAGTGTTAGGAAATAACAGTCAATTCTATGATAAAAGACAAAAAACTTCATAGAAATTATTTATATAAACAAATAAAAATTTACTGAGAAAATATGTTTACACCATTATGGAGAACAATTTGGCAGTATCTAGTGGACCTGAAGCTTTAAGAGCAAAAGCTACACTTTTTTAAAAATTGAATTTGAGGTGACATCGGTTCACAAAACCATACAAATTTCAAGTGTACAACTCAACACATCATCTGCACATCTAGTAAAAAAAACAACTGCTATAGTTCTCATTGTAACTTTATAGATGAATTGGCAACAGTATGTTCTTATTTTGGATAACATTTACACTCCAATGCCCTTAAAGTATAAAGCTATGTTACTGAAGTGGTATATTCAATTTTCAACAGTGAAGTAACTGGCCCCAGATCACACAGTGAAATAGATCAAAGCCAAGACTAGAAACCACGTCTTCTAATACAGTGGTTTCCACCATACCACCTAGACTTTTTTTAAAAATCAATCAAAATAAATAATTCAATATTCCAAGCACAAGTAATCCTGTAAAAATGAAAAACTATAATATTTTATTACTGATGAAAAAAATTAATGGAACAATGCAAAAGAATACGGTAGTTTCTCCCTTATCCATGGGTCCATTTTCCATGGTTTCAGTTACCCACAATCAACAGCACTCGGAAAATATTAAATGGAAAATTCCAAAAATAAGCAATTCATAAATTTTATATTGCACACAGTTCTCAGGAGCATGATGAAATCTTGTACTGTCCTGATCTGCGCCCCCCATTCCACCCTGGACAGGAATCAGCCCCTTGGTCCAGCATGTTCACACTGCATAAGCTGTGAGTTATTCACTTAGTAGCCATCTCAGGTATCAGATCAAATGTCTCAGTATTGCCGTGCTTGTGTTCAAGTAACTCTTATTATATTTAATAACGGCCCCAAAGAGAAAGAGTAGTGATGCTGGCAATTTGTAATGTCAAAGAGAAGCCATAAAGTGTATATATGTATAGGAAAAAACCTAGTGTACATAGTGTTCGCTACTATCTGCAGTTTCAGGAATCCACTGAGGCTCTTGGAACATCCTTTGTGAATAACGGGGGCAACTGTATCATCTACAGAGAACCAGTTGACAAAAATATTTAATTAATGAGAATAAAAATTAACACACAGCTCAGCATTTCTTCAATAATAAAAATATTCTAGCCCGGCCGGGCATGGCTCAGCGGTTGAGCGTCGACCTAGGATCCAGGCAATCGGGGTTCGATTTCTGGTCAGGGCACATGCCCGGGTTGCGGGCTCAATCAGTGACTCTCTCATTATTGATATTTCTATTTCTCTCTCTCCCTCTCCTTTCCTCTCTCCGAAATCAATAAAGATATATTTAAAAAAATAAAATAAAATAAAATGGTTAAGATGGTAAATTAAAAAAATATATATTCTATAGCAGCACTGTAGACACAATAGCTACTAGCCACATGTGGCTACTGAACACTTGAAATGTCGCTAGTGTGACTGAGGAATTGAATTTTACATTTTATTTAATTTTAATTAAAGTTTAAATAGCTACATGTTGCTAATGGCTAACCTAGTAGATAGTGCACAGTAAGAATGTATTTTAAAAGAGTAATAAGTGGCTCACATTAAAGCAAGCATATTAAAATAATAAGAAAGCTCAAATAATTAGGTAACAAAATTTAATGAAAAACGATACCTTTATATTCATCAAGATGTTCCTCATACTCCATACAAAATGTAAGAAACTTCATTAGCATTCGCTTTTCTACCATAGTAAGTTGTTTGCTATTAAAGACATCTGCTCTTGAACAAGGAACCTGAAACACATGATTTTAATTTAAAAAACTACTTCCTAGTGATAAACAAGGATTCCAAAATATATTTTTTCCTTTAAGTATAACAAGATTATTATTTCCATTCTAGTCAGGCTGTGTCACATTACCTTCCATCAGTTCTAATAGCATCTCTGTTGACTTCAGAGCTAATTAAATTGTAAGCCCTCTTACTTAATCTCCCAAGCTGCTCCTTATGCCATTAAAAGGCCAGTGGCATGTCAGCCCTAACTGGGAACAAATGGCAGCTCAAATCTAGCAATGCTTCCCAAAATTATCACTTTCTCAACACCAAGATCAAGCTGCAGAAGAACTCCTGATAAAATGAACACATTTGAATTGAGCAATTTCTTACTATTTACATTTGTAAATCATCATGCAGGACTGGGATTTTCTCCTTTACTAGGAAAATAATCTTATTTTGCTTATCCTTCCAAAGCAAACCATAATAACTTAAGCTCATATCCAGTTACAATACTTGATCAGCATAGTACCTGTTCCACTCTTCCTTCTCGAAATGCAAGAATCCTGGTAATATTTTTGAACTCTGCATAGCGACTGACATTAGATTTGATTAGAAGATCAATTAGCAATCCTCGAGAATACAGCAGCTATACAAAGAAAATATTTTAGATGATGAAATAAAAGGTGAAATAGTGGAAAAATTGATAACTACCAAATAAAGTTATATAATTTTATTATATTTTAAAATAATTGTAAAAAGCATTATACCTATTAATGTTTTAATACATAACATATTATAGGCTCACAATTGATTATTTGAAATTCAAAATTCAAAAAACTCAGGAATCCAAAGTTTTTTCATAACTGGTTTGGCAACAAAATCTGATCCAAATGGGTATAAGGCTCTTCTTTCTGCCTTTCTCCCACTTAATGTGAATGTTCATATATCTGACAGCAGAAATATTAATATGTTTAATTAAAGACTGCCTCCTCAGACTCTGCTAAAAATGTTACATCATATATAGCATATCAGCACATGTATTATATTACTTTCTAAAATACATATTTTCATTAAATGTATTGGGGTGACATTGGTTAATAAAATTATATAGGTTTTAAGTGTACAACTCTATAATACATTATCTGTACATTGTATTGTGTCTTCACCATCCAAAGTCAAGAGTCCTTTCATCACCATTCATTTCCCCTTTACACTCTTTTACCTCCCTCCAACCCCCTTTTCCTCCGGCAATCAACATACTGTTGTCTGTGTTCATTAGGTTTTGTGTAGGGTTTTTTGGTTTTGTTTTTTGCTTAATCCAAAATACATATTTTTAAATCTGAATAACAGAACAGGCCCCAAGGGTTTTGGATAAGGAACTGTAGCCTTATAAGGCCAGGTGGTTATTAAGAAACTAGCTCACTGGATCTCTTCATTAATGAAAAAAGAAAAAGATTGGTTATGCATTTCTATGGAAAGAGTCAAATTATAAGGTCCCTCTGTAATCCCAACAGTCTAGATTTATCTGATATGTCTTTCTCAGAAAGGGAGGATGATAGTTACTGCCAGCATACATATGAAGGATTGATTTCATCTTTCAACATCTTTCATAACCAATATCAGAGAAATAAAAACAATTTCAATAGTATTAACTAGCATGTTTTAAATTTAACCATATGGTTAAATGCAACAGATCTGGCTACTTTCTATATTGAGATACTCTTAAGTGACTATAACTCAATTAAATGTTAAAAATTTAAATGTTACATCTGTAATAAGGAAGGAAAAGAAAAATTTAAAAATTAGCTTTACCTCAAAGAAAAAGGGAATTTCAAAATCAATCTAAACAATTAGACTGAGTATCCATGAGGCCAGCAAAGAATTTCTGTTAATTATCAGTTAGGTGAATTTATATAAACTAACCATTAGTCCAGCATTATGCAGAACAAGAAAAATTGGCATTTGCGTTTTTTTAAACTAATCCGATTCCACTGACCAAATTATGGCATATTACTCCATTACTTTCAGCCTAATATACTACACAACTGATATAAGCCCATGTTTTTGAGAATATACTGCAAAGTCTTAATTCAATAATTATAATTAAAAAGATGCTTCAAATAACTCATGTGTTTAAAAATACTTGAGATTCAGTGTTCCCTCAGTAGTCATAATAATTTCACAAATATTAATATATCAAACATAAAATGCATGTACACTTAATGAGAGCTAATAAAGCTTAAGATTTAATGCCAGCTTTTAAAATAATGCATTTAAGATATCAGTCAAGTGAAAATACATTTCAATTAAAGCTATTCTAAACTTTTGTCTGAAGCTTAGAAATAATGAATATGTTACCATATTTAAACTTAAGCCTCTTTTTCACCACTCTCTAATCTACCACAGCAATTTCACAGTGGTGACAGAGAGGCTAAAGAATACTTCAATTTGATTAAAATAATGAGAACTAGATTTAATAATTAATCATTTTTGCTTCACATGGCCTGCTGCTTCCATAATTAGTAAGGTTATGGACATTTTTAGAATTGAGTTTTAATTGTAAGAACTTCATCTTTGATAATCTTGTCTATTAGTCTAAGCAGTATAACACTATAAAGTATTTTGTTTAGCTAGCCTACCCTGAGCTTTAAGATCACTTTTTAATAGGCTGCATACATAGACGTGTTTTGTAAACTAAAGCACCACATGAGACAGAATGCATGTACAAATGTCAAGTAGTTTGGAGATATAAAACTGAACTTTAGGAAAAAGTAGGGCTTGTGGAAGGTATTTTTGGCAATCATTCTAAGCTTAGATATAATAACTGAAACTTTGGAACAGATAAAATTTCCAAGAAGTGACTGATTGGCCCAATATCATACAATACAATGCTTCCCACACAATAGGTACTCAATAAATGTTCTCTAAATAACTAACATTAAAAAATGATAATAAGCCTCTTGTATTGCTATGGCTGTACATTCTTTAGCTACTCCTGCTTTTGTAGGATGAGTACAGTAAATTATTACTGGTTATTTAAATGAACCCATGAAACTATGCAGAACAAAGTACAATTGCCTTGATACCTCTCAAGATGTTTTTAATTTTCCCTAAGAGAACCATTATTATAAACCATTCAAACTCATGAAAATACCCAGAAATCTTCTTCAGTCTCCTGAAATATCTTAGCATCTAATAAATTATCTCCCTCTCCACTCTAACCATCATTCATTTTCTTATAGAACTAAATAGTTTCCTACACTAATTCCAAAAATGAAAAACCAATGTCTTCTACCATTTTCCTTTGCAAGATTTATACTGTATTTCAGTTACCCTAAAGGTTGTAGAGGCTTTTGTGAACTAGCCTTGATGCTTAACCATTATTTATTTCATTGTTTATTTAAGTAAGGCATTCCATATTCCAAGTCTAATTCAAAACGTAATTTTCGGAACGAAACATATTTGTTACTTGACATCCAGTTGTTTATTTTGTTGTTTTTTGAGATTTCTAGAGTTTATTTATTTTTTAATTTATCTTTATTGTTGAAAATATTACAGATGTCCCCCTTTTCCTCCCATTGACCCTCTCCAACCTGCTCCCATGTCCTCCAGGCCCTCAACTCACTATTGTCTATGTCCATGGGTTATGCACATATGCACGTAAGTTCTTTGGTTAATCTCCTCCCTCCTGCCCCCTCCCTTCTCTCTGAAATACGTCAGTCTGTTGCATGATTCAATGTCTCTGGATCTCTTTTGTTCATCAGTTTATTTTGCTCATTAGATACCACATCTAAGTGAGATCATGTGGTACTTGTCTTTCTCTGACTGGCTTATTTCATTTAGCATAATACTCTCCAGGTCCCACCATGCTGTCCGAAAGGGTTTTTTGTTTGTGTTCCTTAAAACTAATTCCTGCTCATGAAAACAGGAGGTCTATTAGTGAGCTATGATTAAACTTCCACCCACAAATCAATAGCAAAGGTAACATGGAAAGAAGATGGAGAAAGAGAAAGTACAGAAATACAAAGTAGGAGCAAGGCAGTAGCTAACTCCCACCAGAACAGAATCAGACACGGGGCTATGCGAAAGAAACAGCGGATAGTAAAGAGGTGCTCGGATCTTTAGGCATCCAGTTCAAAGAGAGTAGCAGCATGAGGATATGGGATTGTATCGATAAAATGTAAGGAGCATGCAATTAGTTCCTCTCGTTATTCTATAACTTGGAACTTGAAGAGAGCACATTAACTTGAAAAGCCTAGGTTTGCAGGTAGATTGAAGTTATTCACTACCCTCTCCTACTTCTACTTCTTTTCAATGTCTCATTGTTTGTCCTCAACTTATGGGACTTGGTCTCTGTTTCTTTATATTTTCACTCAGCCTTATAGCGTAACTCTTTAAGGTCATTATCCTTTATCTTACTGGTTTTCTATTCTTTTGTACTCAATTGGCCTTGCTTTCTATAAACCCAGTGCAACACTGTACCCTCCTAAGACTCAGACACTGATGTAACATTAGAGTTAAGGATGGAAACATAACCAAAGACAATAGCATTCTTCCCAGCCTCCCTGACCCCACTACAATTAAATAATCCTCTAAAGTCCTCACACCTAAACAAATAATTTTCAAAAATGCATTGTTGTTTTTTTTCAGAATGTTCATTATCACAACGATGTTAAAACAGTTACTATATATATACAGGCTAAAAAAAGTTCACTTAATAGACTGACTATAAATAACATAAATCTGTAATTAGGATCATTAGAATTTTTCTCTTGATAGACTTCAAATCCATGCAGTAGGAGAATATTAGGGTAGATTTGTGCTCTAGTACGAAAGTATCTTTGCAATACAGTACCAAGCATTTTTAATTTGTTTAACCTGTATTTAAAGAGTGTAAAAACTGCTGAAATTACATTTTTATAAAACAAATGTTCTACACTTCACAGAAAAAAAATTATAAAAATTGTGTTCATTGGCCAAGATGCTATTTTCAATCAACTGAAAGTTAGTATTGTTCTATGACAAGATGGGTTAAATTAGTACTTACTTTTGATACCAAATCGATATTAAATTTCCTGCCTTGTTTAACAATTTGGGAGTAAGTAATCCTATTTTTCTTTGGTTGTTCTGTGATGTCTTCTGCTACAGGCACATTTTCACTTGTTCCCTCTTCTGAAGTTGACAGCACACAAGTTTTATCATCACAATGGTTTCCTTTCTCCCCTGTCACTTCAACATCATTCACTTCGAGGGCACTCCCAGCATCACGGCTTGGGGTTTGTTCTGTGGGCACTTCACTGCTCACAGTGCTTAATGACTTATCTTCTGTAGGCAGGCAGGCAGAATTTTCCGCTTCTGTGGAGTTTGCAGATGACACTGAAGCGTGATTTTTCTGCAGTGCACCAACTTCTTCGACACTTTCATGGAAATCCTGACTAATGAGAAATTATAATAATAGTCAACACCACATTTCTGATAATTGTACTTGGTCGCAATTTTATATTTTAACTTTTAATGACAATTTTTATTTCCTTACCCCATTGAATCTTATCAAGTTCAAGTTCACTGTATGTTTTGCCTTCTGTGACCCACACATTAAACATTCATCTGCTCAGGTTTCAATACAGTATGAAACATAATTAAAATTTGAAAAACACACAAATATTTCAGGGTTTAGCAGACAGTGTCACATGTACAGTTTTGATAATTTTTTTGCCTTTTATTTTTTTAAATTTTCCTTTTTATTGAATTTATTGGGGTGACACTGGTCAACAAAATTATACATGTTTCAGATGTACAATTCTATAACAATTCTATAACATCATCTGTACACTGTATTGTGTGTTTACCACCCCAAGGCAAGTCTCCGTCCATCACCTTTTCTCCCCCTGATACCCTCTTCTATCTTACCGCCCCTCCTCCCCCCAGCAAGCACCACACTGTTGTCCTTGTCCAGGAGTTTTTTTCTCTTTTAAAGCAGGCAGGGGAACTGCTTTTTTCTAAACAAATCAAAATAGTGCTCAAGAACTAACAACGGCTCACACCTGTTAGAATGGCCATTATCAACAAGACAAGAAATAACAAGTGTTGGAGAGGTTGTGGAGAAAAAGGAACCCTCATTCACTGCTGGTGGGCATGTAACCAGGTACAGCCACCAGAGAAAACAGCTGCTCACGAAATTAAAAACAGAGTTACCATATGGCCCAGCAACCCCTCTTCTGGGTATCTACCTAAAAAACGGAAAACATTTATTTATAAATATATGTACTCCTATGTTCACTGCAGCATTATTCAGTGTCCAGACATGGAAACAACTGAAATGTCCTTCAGTAGATGACTGGGTAAAGATGTGCTACACATATACAATGGAATGCTACTCAGCCATAAGAAAAGATGAAATACTGCCACTTGACAACATGGATGGACCTGGAGAATATTATGCCAGTGAAATAAGTCAGTCAGAAAAAGCTAAGAACCATATGATTTCACTCATATGTGGGGATATAAACTGAAACTCATGGACACAGACAGCAGTGTGGTGGTTACCAGAGGGAAGGGGGAAGGAGGGCAGTAAAGGGTACAAGGGGCCACATATATGGTGACGGAAGATGATTTGACTGTGGGTGGTGGGCACATAATGCAATATACAGATTATGCATCACAGAAATGTACACTTAAAACCTATATAATCTTATTAACGAATATCACCACAATAAATTTAATAAAAAAATAAAATAATGACGGAAATTTTTTTTAAACATCTAAACTCTACTGCATAAAAATCTTCCTGTTCCTGTCTCTAAACCAAATCACATTCTTTACCTACTATCTTCTGGTCTCATCTCACCTACTTTCCAACATGGCATCTCTAATTCTTAATTTATCAACTCTAATCTCCATGTTTTGGTCCATATCATTTGTTTATTCTGGGTTATTCTTTCCACTCCTCATAACATAATTCCCCCATCCCCAAACAATGATGTACTTCAACAAGTCGCCCACTCTAAGAAAAAGTTTAAGTTTCACTTTGAAGAAGTTGTCCCTAACCCAAGCACACTCATCATTCTATTACTCCATGCCTCCATAATACTCACATGAAGTTTACCTTGTGTTCATTTATCAGTTCCTTTTTAAGTCATTTGGTTGTCCAGGATATGCTTTATCTTCTGAATCATACTTTAATTCTCAAGGGAAGAACCTAGCATCTCTTATTGCACTGTTTTATAACCATGGTATCTAATAAACAAGCAAGGGATGGCAGTGTGTGTGTGTGTGTGTGTGCGTGTGTGAGAAACAAATTTATTTGTAGGAAACACAAAAAATTAGGCCAGGAAAAATCAATAAATTGTAAATAAATTGTGCAGTGAAAAAAAAAAGGGCATTATTAAAATTAACACAATAAACACTGCAATAAAAAAAGGGTTAAGTGGAAGAAAATAATATTTTAAATGTCAAGAAATAAAATTCCATGCTATTTTTAATGTTACAATCTAGTAATTTTAATTAAATATAATGAAAAAAAGGACTTGACATTATTAATATTATGACCATACTTTTCAGATCTAGGAAACTATTGTCAGGAAAGCTCTAGTCCTAGATGCATTATTTTTCAGATATTAGGCAACTAGGAATCTCTCAGATTCCCCACCTATAAAATGGAGGTCATTCCATCTTCCTTACTTTCCATGAGGCTGTCATAAGATAATGAGCTACCATATATGAGAAGTAATTTATAAACTCTAAAAGGTTGTACTAACATGAAATTAATCAAATATAAGATATTGTTAAACTCCTCACCGTTAACAGGCAACTCAAAATACGTGCACCTAGGTTTTCTGAGAACACATGTTGAAAGCTCTTTGGCCACATAACCACACAACAGCACCATTGATATTAGTGACATTCAAAATGCAGGAGGATCGCCCAGCCGCACGTGGCTCAGCGGTTGAGCGTCGACCTAGGATCCAGGAGATCGAGGTTCGATTCCCGGTCAGGGCACATGCCCGGGTTTCGGGCTGCAGCCAATCAATGACTCTCTCATGATTGATGTTTCTGTCTCTCTCTCTCTCCCTTCCTCTCTCTGAAATCAATAAAGATATATTTTTTAAAAATGCAGGAGGATCATATGAAATGCTATTTGTATATTTTCTACAAAATTTTTCATGCTCTGTATTCACTTTTATTATTTTGAAAACTAATAAACCAAAGTGTGTTCCATGAAGGATCTAAAGTAACAACTTTCAGCAAAAGCCCCATGCCTAAAGATTAAACTGAGAAATAATAACATAATTAATTACACTTCATAGATAAGACAGAATATGGCAACTTCTCTTATTACAGACCATGATGATGACACCATGAAAATTGAGCACAGCAATTGATCTAGTCAGTGGCTCTCTACTGTATTCTGAGAAAGGAGACTTTGCACAATGAATAAAATGCACTAACCAATCTGGAATATATAAGTCAAAATACTTAAATAAAGGTATAAGTGTAAGGAAAGAAATTGTTTTTTGTGAATTTGTTTGACATCCATAAGCTATTAAGTTTTACTGTTCTCAGCATCATAATTTGGTAAAATCTCTAGCACTATGTAAAACATATGCATTAAAAACACAGTAGTGTCCTTACTTTCCATTTAAAAAAGTCACAATAGTATAAAAATTCTTCCAAAATTGAATTTAATATCTACCTAGAAGTTATAAAGACACCAGAAAATTCCAAAACTTAAACTTCACGCCATTCCTAAGTAAGTAAAATTCTGTTCTTCATTTATCTTTCCTCAAATTTAAAACTTTATATTGTGGTAAAAAATTTTCTTAACACAAAATAATTCAACCTTTTGAAGCAAACTTCAGAACAAAATAACAACTCAATTTTATTAATTTAAAATATCTAAAAAGTATAAAAACACATTTGCCAGTTGAAAATGAATGCCACTGGATTATGTGCTCTCAAAGGAATCTTTGAGTTCTAATGGTACTATAATTTTAACATATAAAGGAAAAAATCTGCCTCATTAGTTTATATAAAAATGTTCAATAAAATAGATTTCACAAATGAAATTTTAACATTATTTATATTGCTAATTTGAATTTCAAAGGGCATTTACAATACAACAATATTTTTGAAATAATTTTACTTAACTGCAACTGCTGAATACTGCTTTGTATAATGCATGTTTTACTAAATGCCAAAAATTATATATAACCTTGATAATTTGGGGGAGTATAAATTCTGATATTATCTAGTATTGCTTATCAATTAATGGTAGTAACAAAAGAACACCTCAAAGTGAATGTGTCTTATTAATGCCTTGTAACAGTCAGCCTTTTAGATGAGTCAAATGAAAAATTACCAGCCAGCTGGTTAATTTATCCAGCACAGGTGTTCACTATTTATTTTTCAGTCATTTGCACCTTTTCTCCCCAGTACAGCTTGCTGAATAAAGAGTATTCCTTTACTCTGATGTATGCACTTTGTTGTAAGGCCATTCATTTCTGACTTACATATTATATGTTATACCGCTACCCAGCTGTTTATTCCTGCAAATAAATGTTTATGATTACTCATAAGAGTTACAAAAATTGCACTATCCAAAAGTTGTTGTTCCAGAAAATAGTAATATAAAAAACCACTATAATCAATTTTGAATTGCTACAACATAATATATTGGTAGCTATATTTCACTATTTATTACCAACTTAAAATGTTAACTCATACTGTAGAATATAGCAGAAATATCAACCTCCTGTCACCTTCTCCAAGAACAAAATTTCATAAGGTGGGGTATAGAGCAGGTAGTTGGCTGCCTAATCAGCAACCATTAATTGCCCTCTACCTCCCTGACACAAGAGCTGGAATTTTGTTCCAATATCAGGTAGAAGGTGCCCAGAACTAGGGGATAGATCATGGCTGATCAAAAACAATTATGGTAATTTTACTAACCTTTGCTAGGCATTGCTTTTGGAGTGATCAGGTTTTGTAGTTTTAGTCACAGACACAAGGAAGAGTCTGGTGGGGACTCTTGGTAAAAATTCTCTAGTATAATAATAGCAAAAAATGCACACACATGTTAAGAAAAACTCTCCCACTTCTTTCTATTTTTAGAGATTTTTTTGTGTGAAAACATATTTGGAATCATGGCAACCATCCTATAACTCTGGACAGAAAACTAAGAGAAATGCAGAGCATGTATCCCAGAATTCCAATGTGATTAAGATGTTCAATTAACAAATTCTCCAATGACCGAACTACTGACATACTCACCTGCTCATGTGCCAACTCTCCTACCCACCTATCCATCTACTTGTTTAAACCACTTTTAGTTGGGTATGTGTCACTTGCAGCCTAAAACAAACTTATCTGCACACAGTATTAAATAATAGCTTTGTCTGATGGAAAAAAATATAAAATTTTAAATTACTATTAGAAT